AGAGAGGAGCGCCAGCTGTCAAGGCGTGAAGGCGCGCTTTCTGTACTTATAGTCGTCGTAGCTTTTGCCGCGGCGTGTTTTGGAGGCGAAGACGCTAGTTCTGGGTCTCCATTTGAGTGGCGATCGCTATGGTCAGCTTCACAGTATCCCACCGTTTCGCCAGCTCCTTCGCCGATTAGGCAACTGAAGAAAGTGTGGAATGGAACGCCTCTAACATGGCCCTGGTCCAAACTTTGACGGCCGCAGTCACATATTCTGGGACGGGATGAAAGCGACACGGCCGCTTGACCCGAACTGGGTCATTTGGCACATGTATATGAAGTATAGCTCCATAGGGGTCAGCTCTCACCCTGGGGGGAAAGGTTTCCCAGCCCGCCACTCACGTTGCCATGGCTAGGTTTAGATACCACCGATCTAGCCGAGACGAAGCAGCACCACGCGCGATCACCGTATAAGGATATGTGTGAGTCTTAACGTGGTGTTACAAGATGTTCCCGTGGTTCCAACTGAGCGGACGAGCTTCCGCGACTGGATCCGTGAGGCCCCAATTCGCGAGGAGGTATCGAAGCCCCGATGAGTCGTGGGAATCTGCGCTGGTGATATAACTTCGGTCGGCTTGGTCATCGAGGGTGCAATTAAAGTCACCATCGACGGATAGTAAATTTGCCGGACGGTAGCCCAACGTCCAAGAGGGAGTGGAAGAAGGCCTCCCTCTGCGCCGCACGGTGGGGCACGTATATGTTAAGCAGCAACACCCTGTGGCCAAGTAGCGTGCCTTGAATTATCATGAAGGGCTGACTCCAGTGAGCTTCCAAGGCAGAGGTAGCATCTTTAAAGACACCGTAGGGTTGATTAACACCGCCACTTCACCATTTTTTGTTGACCGCGGGGGCCCAGAAGGAGTAGGCGCACGTGCCCGAACCTGTCCGGAGAACCCCAGCCTGCGGCATGGTGTGTCGTGTAGCGTTGAGTCTCCACCGCTTCCACATGTGCTTCCTGGAGCACTGAATCTCGATGCGACCTTGGGTCGGCGCAGACCGGAGAGACCGGACCCATGCATCGCGCTCCGATGCCCGCTGGCCGAAACCATTGACATACTGCGTAACGAAACAGCTCGTGTCAAGATCAGTCTCTGCAGGTCCTGTGCCGGTCCCTCGAGCCGATCCCATAGTTTGGGTCCTTTCCGCTCGTCGTCGGTCTTGGACCACCCGCCAAAGATCCGCTTTAAAGAATCGCCGATGATGGGCTGAGGTTAACTCGGGGTCCAAGATTGGAAAGAAATTTCCCCGACGTCGTTGACGGTACATCGGTCGGGCCGCCGGGTACGAAGGAGTGGAGGCTGCTCGCGTCATTTCGTCACCGGCGGTGTCCCTGATTCGCCTCCAAAGAGGCTCAACCCCTCGACGCCGCACGGGAGTGTCGTCATGGGGGGAAGGGCCCAGGGTACCCTTAATTGTGACGTGTAGAGACAGCGGATACGATCGCGCATCCATCCGCTCCACCTGAGTCAAGACCACTGGAAGATAGGCCCCCGCGCCCGGCTCTCTAGAAAACTTGCACTGCAACGCTCACGTGTGTGTAAGAATGGGCTTGTCCACAATGTTTTATCGGATAATTGGTATTGTCATTGTCAATTGATTTTCCGAGAGACAATCAATAAAATGGCATCACCAATACCCAGGCCGACGTATTGTAATACTGGAGACTTAATTTTGACAAGGGTACTTTTGTATTTTGAATCGGACACTGAAAAAAATAAGTAACCAATCGGGTACTTTTGAATCTTTACTTGTCAGTTATGGCTATGTTTGCAATATGTGATATATATTTATATATTTTTGTAGTTCTAGAGATATCCATGTACCCCTCACGTGTAACCTAGGATACGAAGCGCGAGTATGGTGACAGCTTCATGTGAAGAAGACCACCGTGAGCTGCGAATTACGAGCGAAGGCGAAGCCGTAGCAGGCCACGACATGAACATCCTGCTGGCGTTTAAGATCCGTGTGCGTAGCACGCGGGGTTAAACCCAGTTGTACAAGTGGACAAGCGAATGCGAAGCCGGAGCGGGCTTAGGGTTTTGTCGAAGCGAGCTCAGCGAGCAACTAAGGGTTTTTGGGTCCGCGCGTAGCGCGAGTTTGGTGACAGTTTCAAGTGGAGAAGACTACCTTGGTTTACACGACATGAACATCCTGCTGGCGTTTAAGATCCGTGTGCGCTACTAGTAACCAGGAGGTTACCAACCCCAACATTCAGAACTAGCCGATTGAAAACGAATATACTTCCCTCTTTTTCGAACTATGTTGGTCACTTTTGCCGGTTGAGCAGGTTACTAGTAACCAGGGTAGCCAACTCATAAGTATCCGATCGAGCATATAATTTCGCAAGTATCCGATTCAAAATATAAAAGTACCCGACTCAAAATTTCCACCCGTAATACTGTATGTACGCCGATCGTATAGTTATCAAGAAAAGTTTTAAAATAAGCAATATTATATCAAGCTAATAGTACGTGGCTATCTTAAAGACGGTAAGAAGCTCGTACCTCGAGTTCTGAGAGCAAGTACTGATTTCTTAAAACCTTAAGAGTAAGCTCTTTCTTTTATTTTTTTAAGTTCTGGTACAATGTCACTCCTAGTAAAAAAGGAATGACGTTGCTCCAGAACTCACTTATCACATCGTCGTTTTATCTCCTTCCCTTGCCAGCTCATCCATAGCGAACAGCGTAGGCACGGAAGAATCTCTGCAGCTGCTTAAATGGGAGGTGGTTTAAATAAGACAATTGTGCTTAAAAATAATATTTCCAATTAATACGCTAAGCCCCCCCCCCCCCAAAAAAAGTAATTATAAATTTGCACGGAAGCGTGGATTGCACGCTTGTTCAACTTTTCATACTACGTAGTCTGTAAAAGCGCTAAACTTATCGCAAAGAACGAGACATACATGTAACAAAGACTTGGTCTTTTTCGGTGTAGCACAAGATCGCGTTAAGCAGCGGCCTCGATTTGGTCAACCTTCAACATGAAATTACGACTTCGTAGTGCTGCATAGATATACTGTAATACTACGAAGTCGTTTTTCTATTTTTTTTTAACATTTTAATTGCTCTTCTAATCATATTAAAACACATGCCTTGTCAACAATGGGGACGTGACGCCAAAATGCAGAGCACCAGTCTCATTCACGAATTTGCAGGCGAGAAGGCAAGTCAATCGGATGAAAATGACGGACAATCCTGGAGATAGATGACTGAGCCTTCGCGACGTGTGGCGATATGGATGATATATATCGAGCTCACATTGGGTAGCGCGGAGAGTGAAACAGATTCATTTAAGTGCTGCGCACATAAGAGTGCCATATCAGTCTTGGGGGGGGGGGTACTATGGATACGAAGTCTGCGCTCTCATGGACGTTTGAGACACTAAATTCACAGTCGGTGCAGTTTTGCGTTTTCAAGTGTGGCGAAGAATTACCAGTAAATAATGCCTGAGTGTATGTGATGAATACGATGGAGCAAACGAAAGTTGCAGTGGTTTCTAGAAGAATACAAACAAGCGGCCTGCGACTTGCGACGATGAAAAGGTTATGCCTGCTTCGCTTCTACCAATATTGCACGATCCACCTCTACATGTACAGTAACACAATTGTGGTGTATTGACTTCTGTAATGGGAACAATCTACAAGATCGGCGCATGTTTGCGATCAGTCTCGACCGCGTCTACCAAGAAGGTATGTCGACTACTGACCCTCAGGATACGGCCATGAACACTTGCAGAAGCTCGATCAAATTGTCGAAGTCCTATCCTATCAGTTAACCCATTGGTAAACCCTTTGGTTAACCCTGACATTCGGACGAATTTCTCCATTGGTCGCTTCACCAAATCACCGCTTTTAAATAAGAGTCACTAGTCCGACTTCGGACAGTCCGAGTAAGCAACGGACTACTGCCGATTCCTGTAAAGAGTCGACAGCGACAGTCGAGTCGTAATGGTGTCGCCTTCAGCCAGCCGCGTCGGCGGAAGATGTGAAGATGTGAGCTCGTGCCCGTCCGCCAATCTCTTTCGCAATCGAGAGTTGTCGTTTAATGTCTCCCCCACAACGGCACGATCGGCTGGTCAATGACCACTGATCCCCTACTACAAAGGGTTGCAGGTTAGAAGTTCCAGTGAAAGCTCCGTGATTGTGTGGACTAGGACCGAAGAGATTGAAAACTAGGATAGGAAGCTGTCGTCCTGCGTGTTGCGCCGGCGTCCGATGCTTTTTTAGTGAACGATCGATCAGGCATGTGAAACGTTTCACCTGTCTGACCGATCGTCGACACTTAGGCTCCAGCTGAGGAATTTGAAGAAGTAGCGGCGGATTTCAGGGATTAAGGGCCGAAAATACTTTGGATCTTCAAGGTCGAGGGCATCACGAATCGTGATGGTGTAGTATGATTGGAAGAGAACCACCCGTTTATAATAGGCTTTACAGTACTACTGTAAAGCTGCGACCATCTACATGTACTATTAATAATAGACCATGTGGTCGATTTACGATAGGAGAGCCAGGGAACAGAGAAATTTCTCACAGTCAGCCGGTTGCTGGCAATTCGTGAAGCTAAACTTGTTGGACAGCCTTGCACCTATTGTACCATGTGGACATTGTCTAGTGGACAATGTGGGAAACGGTGAAGTTTAGGCTAAACTTTAGCCAGATTGTGCTGCTCGAAAGCGAAAAATGTACCTTTCTTAACCAAGATGGGACAAAACAAATATTATAATAGTCAAAGATATTAGTACAGGATATTAGTCCGGGACTAAAGTAATAAAATGGTAATCCACTTTATAACCGGTGCACTAAACGCTGTAGATTTGCGAGCAACTACCGGTACATGTACAGCGGAGTTGTCGTCGAGATTGGCATGGGTCTTGGTCGTTTCCACTGTTCGACAGTTCATTTCTCAATTTGCAGCACCGTAAGTACCACTTCTCGAATTACGCACTCGCAAAAGAAGAACCATGGTGTCCACGACATCCATCCTTGCTATTGCCGCGGCAGTTGCCACTACCATCGACTACGTACAGGCCCACGGCTACATCGCCAAGCCAGCTCCTTCCTGGAAGGCCTCGAAAACAAATAACTGGGTTGTCGAGATTGAGCCCCAGTGGAAGGGAGGCTGGGACGAGTCCAAGGGTGACGAGGGTCTTTTGGCTACGTTCAAGGAACTGGCGCCTAAGAACAACTTCAAGGATGTCCGGTCTCTCATGGACGGCAACCCGGTGTTCGGTGAGGAATGCGGTTTCACAGACCCCAAGGGCAAACCTTCGGAGCCGCCCTCGGATGGCACGGCCACCTTCTCTCGTGGTATTGTCCACGCTGGTCCATGTGAGATCTGGCTGGATGATAAAATGGTCCTCCAAAATGACGACTGCCAGTCCGCGTACGGTGATGGTACGCAGCAGACGATCGCGGTCTTCAAGCCTGTGGACTACTCGTCGTGCGCCGCGGGAGGCTGCATGCTTCGTTTCTACTGGCTCGCGCTGCAGCGTCTCAAAGGAAAGACGGTGTGGCAGGCGTACAAGAACTGCATCCCTTTAACGGGCCCGGCTGGTGGAGGTGCCTCGCAGCAGGACCCGGCGACCGGCGGTGGCTCGGACACGTCTCAGAAAAACCCTGATGAGGATCCCTCGCAGCAGGACCCGGCGACCGGCGGTGGCTCGGACACGTCTCAGAAAAACCCTGATGAGGATCCCTCGCAGACCTCTCCATCCACTGGCGACTCTAGCAAGAAGGAGGACTCGGACAAGGAGGAAGGCTCGGACAAGAAGGAAGACTCGGACAAGATGGAGGGCGGCAGCAAGTCAGACACCCCCTCTGGTGGTGAGCAGCAGACTCCGGAGGCGCCGTCCAACCCCGCTCCAGAGACGCCGTCGAACTCCGCTCCAGAGACTCCTCCGGCCGACACGCCTGAGATGGCTCCGGCCCCGGCTCCCAGCAGCAAATGCAACGGCCGTCGTCGCCGTCGTTACTAGACTCCGAAGGGAAGGAGAACGCTACGCGCGACTAGTGTACGTGGATAAATGTTCGGGTCTCGACCTTCAAGTTCAAGCCCCGGTGTGTCGTACCAGCTGAGAGCGCGACGAGGTGTTCAAAGCAGAGAAAACAGCTAGGAGAATGGATGTTTTTCCTATCAATTGAGTGTCAACATAGTTTCATGATTTCTTTTAGCTTTTGGTGAATTTGTTGGTTAGTTTGTCAGATTTTCAAGACCAAATGCCAAGACGAGGCGGAAGGGCTCGCTTTTACGTGTACAGAGTCGTAGTCTAGGGAGAATTGCCGATACTTAAATAAGTAATTTACTCAGTCTAACGATTCGTAAAGGCTTAACTGTGTTGGTGCCGTGATTCCAGGTGCACTACGGTGTTCGAAGCAGTCGCATCACCCTCTTGTACAGGGGGTCTAATGACGGGAGTGTGAGATCTGTCCGCGACTATTATACCGCAGCCCCGTTCTCCCCTCATTCCCCATTTTTTAGTGTCTTCTTCAGCACCTCCCCACATCCGCATACAGCAATGGTGTCGGCAACATTCTTCGTGGCTGTGGCTTCCGCTTTCGCCATGTCTGCCAACCACGTCCAGGCTCACGGCTACATAGAGAACCCCAAGTCCGAGTTTAAGAAAAAGAAAACATCGGAGTGGATCGTCCAGATCGATCCGCAATGGAAGGGTGATTGGAACAACGCCAAGGGTGACGAGGGTCTCGTGGCTCTTTACAAAGAGCTCAAGGCGTCCAACAATGCCAAGGACATCCGAACGCTTCTTGACAGCGACACCTCACTGTACGGTGCCGACTGTGGCTACACCAACCCGGACGTGTCACCGAAAGACCCTCCTACCGACGGTACGGCCACCTTCTCGCGCGGTATTGTGCATGCTGGACCGTGCGAGATCTGGCTCGACGACAAGATGGTGCTTCAGAACGACGACTGTCAAAGTGCCTATGGCGATGGTACTCAGGAGACGATCTCGGTGTTCAAACCTGTGGACTATTCGTCCTGTGCGTCAGGAGGCTGCATGCTCCGCTTCTACTGGCTGGCGCTCCAGCGTTTAGACGGCAAAACGTACTGGCAGGTGTACAAGAACTGCATCCCGCTCTCGGGTCCTGCGGGCGGAGGTGCCTCACAGACAACCCCGTCGACCGGCGATGGATCGAGCACCTCGCAGACGTCGCCAGCGAGCGGTGAGTCGGAGTCGCAGACAACTCCGACTAGCGGCAACTCCGACACTACGCCGTCCCCAGAGTCACCTTCGGTTGAGACTCCTGAGGTAACTCCGACCCCGAGCAGCAAGTGCAACGGCCGCCGCAAACGGAACTAGTCTATGCGCTTCAGGACCCGTTACGTGAACGTCTGTATGATATATATTTTTTTAAATCGGATAGGTTGATCTGTTGTGCCGTACGAATAAAGTTGTGAGAGCAACGCTAGCTTAATCGACTTGCCACTACGTAGTTTTTTTTAAGAAATGTTAAAACGTGTGACTTTTGGTCATAGAAGACGAAGAGGTCAGGTGCCGACATTACCGTAGGTTGAATGAGTGATTCGATATATTACTGATATCCATAAATTATTAGTATTAATACTGCTTTGAGCTTCCATACTGTACATTAAATTGAATTTTAGTACCAGTTTAAGTATTTATTTAAAAAATTACTGTCCATGCAATATTAAAAAGCCGTACACTTCAGGTCAAGATGTTGACGGCTTTGCGACTCACCATCCTCGTTCCGCCACTTGAGCTGTTTGTCGATCGATCGTCTGACAATCGATCAACGATTCGTCAGCATGTCGTTCGCAGCGTTTCTATCATAAGATTACTTCGAACTTCGAACTTCGAAGTACTGTACAGTACACAGGTACAGTAGCTGTCGGCTGATGGATACCGCCTGATAATAAATTCTTGAGGAACGGAGGCTGCAACTTGCAGTGTATTGGCATGTCAAATTGATATAGGATAGCTATTCAGGCCGAAATGGCTCAAGCGCCTACAAACTTTTGAAAAAAGCTCGTCTAAAATGCGTTTATTTCTGGATTAAGAGGAACTGCTTTCCATTTCGAGAGACAGTACAGCGACTCCTGGGCTTTGCTCTACATGTATCCATAATCTGAATCGGAATACTGCCCAATAAGCAGCGCTCAGCACCTACCACTGGCAGTACCAGCGCGATGATTGCAATCGTAGCTAAAGATTCTTTAGTGTACAAGACTCGGATGTCTTTGGGGCAGCCCTTATTAATAAATACTAAGATGGAGCACATTGAAGGCAAGTCCCGGGAAGATGAATCCTCCATCTGCGCAGTTGAATTTCTTGAAGAAGCTCTTGCGGTGAACCAACTGGCACGCCTGTCAATTCAACGACCGAGCGCTTCTACATGTGCAGAGACGCCCGCCGGAACGACTGGAGATGATGCATAACACGGCAGATGTCTCCGCAACTTCCACCGACGACAATCGTGCAATCCGATGAAGAAAAATGCTTGGCAAATCTTGCGTTAATCGTGGGGAGGGGATGGTAAATCGTGTTAATATGCTAGCACTTCAAGATCTGCTATGCTTACGGAGGGCTGTAGCGACCTTGGGCTTCGTCCTCGTGTATCGTATTTCAACGCCCCGGTCTACCGAGCCATGAGGCCATTCCCGGTTTTTCCGCAGCAACTCGCCACCTCTTTCTTGTTGTCACTGCTGCTCAAGAGAAATGGTTTCCACGACGGTTTTCTTCGCTACCGTCGCAGTGGCGGCCACGTCCATCGGCCATGTGCAAGCCCATGGCTACATGGAGAAACCCTTAGCTGAATTCAAGGAAGGCACCGAATCCCCTTCGGCTTGGGTTGCTGAACTTCAGCCTCAATGGAAAGGTGACTGGGATAAAGCCAAGGGTGACGAGGGTCTCGTTGCTCTCTACAAGCAACTCAAGAAGTCCAACAATATCAAGGATATTCGTACGATGATTGACGGCGATGCCAAACTCTATGGTGAGGACTGTGGCAATACCGACCCGAAGGCAACGCCGAAGGACCCACCGACCACGGGTGATGCGACGTTCTCACGTGGCATCGTCCACGCTGGTCCGTGCGAGATTTGGCTCGACGACGAGATGGTGTTGCAGAACGACGATTGCCAGAGCGCGTACGGTGATGGCACGAAGAAAACCATCTCGGTATTTAAGCCGATGGACTACTCGTCCTGTAAGTCCGGCGGGTGCATGTTCCGATTCTACTGGCTGGCACTGCAGCGTCGTGACCAAAAGACGCTCTGGCAAGTATACAAGAATTGTATACCACTGTCCGGCCCTGCTGGTGGCGGCGGTGGCGGTAACTCGACTACCTCTGGGTCGAGCACGGCTCAGACTTCGCCGTCAAGCGGTGACTCGGAGTCCCCGTCCAGCGGAACGTCGGATACCCCATCGAGCGGTGACTCGGAGTCCCCGTCCAGCGGAACGTCGGATACCCCATCGAGCGGTGACTCGGAGTTTCCATCCAGCGGTACATCGGACACCCCGTCGAGCGGAACATCGGATTCCCCTTCCAGCGGCGAATCGGAGTCGCCTTCTAGCGGTGAATCGGACTCCACTTCGACCGAAACTACCCCGGCTCCGGAGACTCCATCGATCGAGACCCCCGCGACGCCACCGGCTTCGGACAGCAAGTGTTCCGTGCGTCGTAGACGCCATTAAACTCCGAGTCGAAGGAGTGCGTGTACGTAAATATTCGTAGCTATCGGTCATTGAGGCCGACTTCATGTCGTACAAACTAAACAGCGAAGAAAGATGTTTGTCTTATACAGTGTACCTTGTTTCTTAAAAAGCGTCCACAAATTCAAAAAATCCAATTGTCTTTAAGAAAACTATCGAAAGCAGCGAATCCACTCACTCAGGCTCTGCATCGCAGTTTGCCAACGATGACGGAGCCTTCGATGCACATACCTATCTGATGAATGTTATGTAGCATCGATTTGTGTAACTACCTTATCGATTCAACGCAACCAAGTTACCGGTATCCATGCTTGGGGACTAGTACATGTTACTGCGGAAGGTAGTGCTAGCAATCTTGGAAGTTGCACTCGATCTGTCTAGCCGGACAGGAAGGAAAAGTAGAAGTGAATAAATTAGTTGCTTAAGCTCTCTCACCAAACTCTCACAACCAGTAAAGGACCTGTGTCCTCTCTCATGCAGAAGCCCACGTCTCTCTGCTTCTCAGCGACTTGGTCCAACCCCCGTTGACCAGGTCTCACATTGAACTCAGCTTCGACATCGGGTCTTCGATATGCAATCCAACACGCCTTCTTCAAAGCATAAGCTTTGATCTTCACGTTGCAGTTCTCGGCGCGATGGAGGATTGGTTGGCACCCACGCTCACAAGCTCCAACAAAGCCTTCAGCTTGTTCTTGTCCAGGGGCTTGGTAAACGCATCAGCCGGGTTCTCGTCGCCTCTGATCTTGTAGAGATCCACAACTCCCTTCTGCACTTGTTCTTGAACAAAGTGCCAGCGGAGTTCAATGTGTCGGGTTCGACGGCTGTATGTTGGATTGGTTGCCAACACGTGTGCGGCTTAGTTATCAATCCCAAGCATCAGTTTCACATCCTGATGTTGCAGTAGTTCTTGCAATACGTTGCTTGCCGCGGTTGCCTCCATCGTGGCTTCACACGCTGCCACGTATTCGGCTTCAGCCGTAGAGAGAGATCTACAATGGATTGTCGGCGAGACATCCACGAGACTGCACCACCACCAAGTGTAAATACAAACCCTGTTGTACTTTTCCTCGACTCTGGATCGTTCGCTCAGTCGCTGTCACAGTAGCCATCCAGTACAACCGTACTTGGCATCTCCGTCGAGTACTCATACGTAATACCGTAGTCAACAGTTCCAGCAATATAACGAAGCACACGTTTCAGTGCTCCAACATGCTTCGCTGACGGTTTGGCTACGAATCGACTTAGTTGGCCAATCACAAACGCTAGATCTGGGCGTGTTCCAGTAGCTAAGTACATCATCATGCCAATCGCTCTTCTGTAGTCAAAGCTGGTATCCGTCTGTTGATCCTTGTCCAATGGTACCAAACGCATATAGGATTACCCACAGCGTGCGCGTTGTTGAAGCCGAAAGTCTCCAACACATCATTCGCGTACTTACTCTGCTTGACAGTTATCCCGCTGTTGCTTTGATCCACCTCGATTCCTCGATATTCCTTCAAGCGACCTTGGTCCTGATCCCGTACTCATCATCGAGATCTTCAAACAGCTTTTGTTTGCTCTCCTCATCATTAGTGGCCACCATGATGTCATCAACGTAGACTAACACTAACATGATAACATCGTTCCTGAACTTGTAGTATAGGCACGGCTCAGTCAATGAGCGTTGATACCAATGCTCCATCAGCCAACGGTTTAACTCCGTGTTCCACTCTCTCCCCGATTGCCTTAGGCCATACAGTGCCTTCACCACTACGTACACGTGCCCGCCTTACACGGGAAGCCATCAATTGATCGCAAATACTGACGAATTCCAAGCATTGCATTCAAGTACGCAGTGTTAATATCACCGCCATACAATACGAGATGTAGTGCTGCTGCCAATGCCACTACCATTCGAAAGGACGACATTCGCGCAACTGGCGCAAACGTCTCTGAGAAGTAAATTCCCGGTCGTTGGTGGTTTCCAAAGACCACAATCCGTGATTTAAAGCGAATCACATATCCCTGTCGATCCGTTTTCACTGAACGTACCCATCGCGTATTAATCGGCTTTGCGTTCTCTGGCACGTCCTCGTACGGTATCTCCATGATAACGCCTTTAGCACGCAGCGCACTCATCTCTTCCATGTCTGCCTGCATCCAGAACTCTCGATACTTTGATCGATTCATCTCCCGATTGTTCCTTGGAATTGGAACAGAGCTCGCATGAATGGCCTTACCATTCTTGTCCAAAATGCGCTCCGTCCGTTGGGCAACATTGACGATATATTCGTCGAGATAGCGGGATCGTCGTCGCTTACTGTATTCGCGAAGTCCAGTTCGTGTTTTCTTAGGTCCTGGTTTCTCAGCCCTTTGCTCCACTCGCAATAGCTCCGAATCAGTTTCATCACGATGACTTCGCTTGCCAACCTTAGCAATAGGTAGTGCAGTATTCTCGACACCCATCTGGTCCTGCTCAAGTATTTCCTTAACTTTCTCGTCCAGATCATAGTCTTCGATGCACTCATGTGTGTGTGACTCGACTCTGAGCCACAGACACTCATCACAGAAAAGCATTCAGCACTTTCCGTCAGATCGACCGGGTGACCGTCCACCAATACATCATGTTGGTCATCGTCCTCCAATCCTATTGTCGATCTATCCTTTCGCAAACACGATTGTTGCTCATTTCCGATATCCGACTCGATATCCCCAGCAATCGCTGTGTCTTCGCCCACATCCTCAGTGTCTAGTCCAAACTGAATAGTCGAACGCACTACTGAGGTTTCGTGCCCATTGGTTCGCTGCGTCTCCATTTCACCAGCGGGTAGAGTCTTCTCAATATCCACCACATCACCTACTTCAGTTGGTATCGCTGTGCTCACTCCACCAACATCAGTTGCGGTTCCAAAGTTTAACTCCACGGTAATCTGCGATGTTATCTCAGATTCAACCTCGTGCGTACCAGATCCAACCCCGTGGTGTGTACTCGTACACCCCATCAGTGTATCATTCGCATCGCCTTCTGCATTCTGCAGCTCATGTTGCACAGCCCCACCATCATTTTCATTCTTCTCCTCCTCGAGTTCCAAAGGGTCTAAACCCACGGACTCGTCCAAATCCGTAGAGTAGAGCGAACGAGTGGACTGGCAACTTGTTCTTGCCACACTCATGTCAGCACTGTCCTCTCCAGACGGTTCAAAATGTAATGATTCCAGGTCTGCATCATCGACTGATGCTTCATGTCGATCTTGGTATACTACGTCTTCTGTGACGCGTAAGTCGGCGACAAACTTTGCTGTACGATCTTCAGGAAAGTACACTTTGCAGCCGACTACATCCTCTGCATATCCAAGCACGAACCCGATCTTGGCGTTGTCATGGTGCTTACGACGCCCTGGTTGAATCGGAACGTGAACATATGCAAGTGCTCCAAACGTACGAATGTGATGTATATCGGGTTTCACTTCGAACATCATCTCGAACGGAATACCACCGGTGCCTTTGTTAAACACCCTGTTCTTTATGTAGACCGCATTTCTTAGCGCTTCTGGCCACAAGCTCCTTGGGTACCCAGCGTGATGCATTGACGCCTTGGTTATCTCGATAAGAGATTGATGCGTCCTTTCGCATAGGTTGAGTTGTGAGCTCTTGGGTCCTACAAGAACGTGCTCAATTTCTTGAGTTCGATACCAGTCTTGCATGGCTTCGTTAATGAACTCTCCTCCTTCGTCCGTCAGTACCTGACGAAATCGGTACTTGACTCGCTCGCCTCCTTTTCTGAGTTTCTCCCAGCTTGACGCTCTGCCCAGAAGATATAGTCCTTAATGAGCTTATTCACCAGATCACTTGACTTAGATGTCAGCATGTGCACCGTTACGAAGCGTGAATAACCATCTAGTAGGACCAGTACCGCTTCGAAGCGAGTACCGTTCCCCTTACTCGGGATCAGCAAGTCTGCATAGATCATCTGATTGGGCTGCTTCAGACCTCGATCTAGCTTCTTCTGATATGGTTTCTTTCTTTGCTTCCGAATATGACAAGCATCGCATGTCGACGCTCCCTGTCTCTGAGTTAGCATCATCCCCTTAACAAGGCTTTTATCTGCACTTGTCTTCAAGTATTGTGGACATATGTGTCCCAGCTTCTCGTGCCAGCGTGAAAGTGGAGCCACCCCATCCAACGCAGTGTAGTTACACAGCGATATGCTCGGTAGACTCACTCTTCCTCCTGTCGACGGGTGCCTCACGAAGAAACCCCACGTAGCTTCATTGGGCGTAGCTACAATTACCGTTCTTCCTTCGTAGGTAACGTTGAACGTTGACGAAGATTGATCATAATCGAAGTCGAACCCTTGTTCAGCAGCCAGTCCTGGTGAAAGCAGACCAAACTCAGCACCAGGTACATATAGTACGTCGTTCAGGTAAACCACAGTTGATTCACCGTCCACTTCAGTTGCTAGCGCCACAGTTCCAACTCCTGCGATACGAGAAGCCAACGTTGTATTAGCCCCGTGTACACTTTGTGACTGCCTCGTATCTTCCGTAAACGCACAGAGTACGCTCTGTTGCCGGTTACGTGCACATTTGCAGCTGTGTCAAAGAACCACCAACCACCGCTCATGTCACCGTTCACACCAGTTCTACCACTGTTGCCCTCGTCGTCCTGTGTGACCTCATCCGTCAGTTCGTCTTCAGACACTCTGACACTGGTCTCCACGCTCGCATCGATCATCATGCGATCTAGAGTTCCTGCTACCACACCAACGTCCTCATCTTCCTGATCAGGTTTTGGTCGTGAGCGGTTCTCTTGCCGAAGAGTCACGTTTCCCCGTGGTTTCCGCTTTTCATTTGATCCAGCGCCGCTTGAACGATCCGTCCTCTCTGGGCATGCAGCCTTCAAGTGCTCTGTACTCTCACAGAGATAGCACTTCTTCGGCTTCTCCTTCATGAAGTCGTTGTTTTTCTCCCTTCTCGGGCTATCAGCCTTTCCTGTCGTTCCTC